TAGTCTAACCTAGTTTTAGGGTTCATCTAGCAACTGAAAACAAATTAGGTCAGTTCTACAATGGCAAGTTTCCTCAAATAAAGAACTTGCTTTAGAAAACTTATCCAGAAATGTTCTTGTCTGGATCTGGAATAACAATGTAAAACCTAGCAAGCAAGATCCTAAAACCCAAATCTGGGTATGGGGAAATTAAGTGGTTTCTTTCACTGACTTTGGTTTTTTTCTGCAGTTGAAAACCTTCCTTCGTCAAAACTATTTCCAAAATGGAAAATTTGATTGCAATTATCATGGACAAAATGTATATCTGCTTCAAGCAGCAGTGATGCCCAAAAATTTCTTAAGTTTCTACGCATGACTTCTGAGGTGGGGGAGGACTCAGCAATGCGTTGTGGGAAAAGAGAAAAAGCTAAAGCGCTACACTCAACACTTGCTCTTCCCTGGGTCTTGACAGCATTTTTTACCTCACATCGCAAAACACAGCATTGAGAGAGCACTAGCTCTCTAAGTCATGTCTTCTCAGAAAATATGGTCTATCTGTCCCTGGATCAAGGGCAAAAAGATAAGCTTCCTCCAGTTCCAAAGCTCCCCAAGGTCCAGGAGCAGGCTCTCCTCAGTAAGGATGAGCCATTCTCCCTCTGAGGACTGATCACACAAATTCATGGCATAATCTTGGGTGTATGGGGCTCACCTCAAGCAGGGACATCCTGATGCTTCTGCAAAAGGAAACCACAATTTTAAGAAAACTGGACAACCAACTTTCCCTTTTTATGATGCTTCTTCCAAAAGTTGTGGTTCTCTGCAACTCTTGCAGATATGCCAGAGACTAGGCCTGAAAAGAATTTAATTTTGGCAAAATATATGCAACATGAAGTTTACTATTTTAACCATCTTTAACGTACATCTCAGCAGCATTAAGTGCATCTATGCTGCTGTGCAACCATCACCACCATCCATCTCCAGAACATTTTCATTTTCCCAAACTGAAACTCCACCCTTTAATCAATAATTCCCCATTCCTCCCTCTTCCCAACCACTGGCAACCACCATTATACTTTCCGTCTCTATTAATCTGACTACTCTAGGTACTTCATATAAGTTAGAAATTTATTTTAATTCATCCACAAGTCTGATTTCCAGAACTGAACTAAAATCCCAATAGCAAGAGCAACCTCCATTTTCAATAGCAAGAGCACGCGCGCACACACACTATCGCTGTAGTAACTGAGAGCTTTTTCCTTTGCAAAACAGAAGACAGAATCATCTTCCTCTGACAGGCCAAGCCACAGCGATTCTTCAGAGAGAGATGGCGAAGAGCTTCAGAAGGTCCCATAGAGCTGGAGAGCTTGCAGCACACAACGAAGGTGAGTGTAAACTCGCAGGTTCTCCTTAAGATTTTGGCCTGAACAAAGGGGTATACAATTCATGGTTCCAAACCACTAAGGCATCCAGACGCCTCAGGGTGTCTATAAAACAACGGACGGAGGTAGGTCTTGGTGAAACCTAGAAGAGGAAATGCCAAGCCCTGTATCTTACTATGAGATAGTTTAGATAGAAACAAGACGCTGACCTGATAAGCTCTACCTAATTTTCTCATGGGGATGGACCCATATAATCTGCTCTGGCTTATAAATATAGGAAAGCCCTAAAATAAGCTATGTTAGTGTCCCAGTAGAGTCATGGGGTATGACAGGGCAATAAATAAATACCAAGGACAAGAGCAACCACCATTCCCGAGCACTTCTCTGTGCCAGAAAAATTTTACTAGGTGCTTTATACATACTGTCTCATTTGATCTTCACAACAACTCCATAAAGTATAAAATATCTATTACTCCTTTTGCACCAAAGAGAAAAATTATTTCTGGACAAATGTGACACATTCAAGGTCACACAGTTTATGAAGTAGAGTCACTGCAAGGTCTCTGTTACTCCAAAGCCCATGCTTTCAATTAATAGCCTTTCAAGGTAGAAGTTATTTTCATACCCTCATGGCAAAGAAAGAAAATTGTTCATTAAAAATCTCTTGGCTGAAAATGTTTACTGCTTAAAACCAGCTTCAATTAAACTTCATCAGGTTAAGTGTGGAACAAGCCCCAGATTCAGGATTCCTCCAGTCTCTGGAGGTTTGACATGTGATCCTAGGCCAGTCACTCAGCTTCTCTGGCTCTGGGTTTCTCAGGGAACTTGTAAAACAAGACTGCCTCCCCCTTTTCCCCCTACCTCAAAGCATTCCATAAAGTCAATTACCCGTACTGAGATAATAAGGCTGATATCCAAGGATGAACCTATTGGCCAAAAGGTTTCAATCTCCTCTCTAACCACCTTTCTTTTTAATTATCAGAGCATCCCACAAAAGTTATCAACTAATCAGCAAATAATTATCCAGGACCTACTATGCACACAGTCACAGAGCAGTCGATGAGGGCCGTTCAGAGGTATAGGCACCCTCCTTGTCCTTGAGGACCTGTCCCCAAGTTTGAGGACTTATAAGATACATGAAACAAAAGCACAACAATTCTGGTGGGTGGGCCTATTATTCAGTATCCAACTATAAGATACAACGTAGAAGAATTGGAATTCAGAACATCAGCTGGGACTAGAAAAGCTAAGGTTTTCTGGATAAAGGGGAATTTTAAAACTTTTGGGGGAAAGGAAGGGGAAGGCATTCCAGGCAAAAGGAACTCCGGGAGGCAAGGACCTGAGTCTGGATGGAATAGTGTACAGGATGAGTGATCACAAAAGACACGAACAGATCCCTTGGGGAGCATATGGGTGAGCAGCAGAAGTGGAGGCTGGAGCCAGATTTCAGAAGACAAATGCCTGGCATAGTAAGCTGGACCTGGAGTAGAAACAAAATATAGTGAGCTGAGTGACCTGATGAATGCTGGAAGCCGCTCAGTTTGGATTTCTCACCTACTCTCTGTCTGCAATACATGAAAAGGATAGGAACATATGCAAAAACAAGGCGTGAAAAAGCAGATGACATCAGCCATGCCAGCGGAAAGGCACCAGAGGACTGAAGAACGAGAGAGCTCCTGGAGGGCACGGACTCATGACATTTCTTAATACAGTACTGGGAGCACATCAGGTGCCCAAAGATGCTTGGGAAGCAGTACTTTGATCTACGGCTACTAGTTTCACATGGACCTTTCAGCCCCATTATACCATGGGTGAAGAAAACAGGCCTGGTCCAGAATCTCTCTAAACCTACACTCACACATCCCTACCCTTCTGCTAGATACCACACCAACGGAAAGGTGTGGTCACTGCCCACCTCTGCCCCAAGTCTAGGAAATAGGCCACGTGGAGTCCAACACGAAGCTCCTGCTACAAAGAGCATCCGGGGAGGGACTGCACCATCAGTGTACTCTGTCTGAAAGGTCTCAGACTCCTCCTGTGGAAGTCACATCAAGAAACACAGTCCCACCCTGGCCAATGTGGCTCAGTGGTTGGAGTGTTGGCCCACACACTGAAGGGTCACAGGTTCGATTCCCAGTCAAGGGCATGTACCTGGGTTCAGGTTTGATCCCCAGCCTGTTGAAGGCAACCAATCAATGTGTCTCTCTCACATCGATGTTTCTCTCTCTCTCTCTCTCTCTCTCTCTCTCTCTCTCTCTCTCTCTCTCTCTCCCCGCCCTTTCTCCCTCCCTCTCTCCGTTCCACTCTCTCTAAAAATCAATGGGAAAAAAATGTCCTCAGGTGAGGATTAACAAAAAGAAAGAAGGAAGGAAGAAAGGGAGGAAGGGAAAGAAAAACAGCCCCTGGGGCCTATTCAGACAAGAAGACACCTAACAATCATGCCAGTTCTGATGAGGTCTAGAGATGTCTAATGACATCACTCTGCACCACGAGATGCAAAAGTTGGGGCAATCTGTGCAAAAGAAAGTGTTTATTGAGGTACTCTCCGGGCAGTGTTGACTTAAACCTGTTATCATTTAGCCAGCCAGTTACCGTCTGCATCAAGCCAGCAACTTGAAGCAGCGGCCCTCTCCTCAGTGGTGCACTTCCATGGCCTGACCCCTCCCTGCTGCCTTCCCACCTGGAGGAAGATGGCAAGCCTTGCTCTCTACCAGCCGCAGATCCACAGGATGAAGAGGCTGGCACACGAGATGTTTTAGCACACAGCCAAATGACCCGCCCCTGCACCACAGTGCAAGAATCAGATCCTCTGATAATGGTTTAAAATTTATATGCATGTGCCTGCCAGGAAATAAACCCTGGCTAGTTAGATCCAGCTCCACAGAAGTACTTAAATTCCCTTCTGCTGATTTCTATTTCATAAGAAACCCCTGGTGGAAGAAGCAGGAGTTCCCCTTAAGCACACACCTTCCAGTATCATTTATAAACTTTTCAATGCAAATGAAAGTCAGATCAGAGCAAGTGTCATCGGATAGGTTTCTCTCCTTACCTGAATTTGTGTGCGTATGTAGGCACATCCCCGAGGGCGCTCGTGCGCGCGG